CAACAAAATAATTAGTCTAGTGTTCATTAACAGTTCATCAATTAGGTTCTAATCTGTTCCCCATTTATTACTATCACCATACAGTATATTAACAAATTATCAGTGATTCTGTATTATTTTAATTCCTTGATGAAATCTCTTACATTAGAGTCTCTTGGTCTTTAATGAACATTGAATAAGACAAGTTATTTTTGTCTCATTTTTATTTATCTATTACTTACAAGTCTACCTGATCATTTAAACTATAAAGGTACTTTTCGTATTATACAAAAAAAATCTTGCATAATTCTCCTATTCAATTAACCTTTCAAGTACATTATTTACAGTGATTAATTATCAAAAGTAAATGGCAAAGGGGAATAACTCCTCTCAGTTGAATACAAATTAATAGAGCCCTGGCCAGGACCAGAACACTTGAAGGTTTTCAAAGAAATAATGCATTTTTACTACAGATTCATTATATTATCAATAGAGCCAACCCCCAACCCCCCAGCACCAGAACCCCTGAACCCCTGACCTTTGTGCCATGAATTTCACAATTTTGGTAGAGTCACCCTTGCTTATCATAACTATGTATTCAATATGTTTCAATAATACCCAGGAGCAGAGAAGAAGATTTTCAAAGAAATAATTCACTTTCACTATATGATCTATATAGACCCGCCCTAGCACCAGAACTCCTGACCCTTAGGCCAAGAATTTCAAAATTTTGGAAAAAGCATCCTTCTGCACCATTACTATGCACTTAGTTTGTTTAAATAATACCCAGGAGCAGAGAAGAAGATTTTCAAAGAATTAATGCATTTTCATTATATATAATCAATAGAGCCCCACCCTAACACCAGAACCCCTGACCCAGGGGCCATGAATTTCACATTTTGGAAAAATCATCCTTGTGCACCATTATCATGCATTAAGTTTGTTTAAATAATACCCAGGAGCAGAGAAGAAGATTTTCAAAGAATTAATACATTTTCACTATATAATCAATAGAACCCCGCCCCACACCAGAACCCCTGACCCAGGGGCCATGAATTTCACAATTTTGGAAAAGGCATCATTCCTTGTCATAACCATGCACTTAGTTTGTTTAAATAATACCCAGGAGAAGAGAGGAAGATTTTCAAAGAAATATTGCACTTTCAGTATATGATCTATATAGCCCCGCCCTAGCACCAGAACCCCTGACCCTGCGGCCATGAATTTCACAATTTTGGTAGAGGGCTTAATGCATATTACAATCATACCAACAGTTTGACTGCTTGTTGTCCAGGAGTAAAGAAGATTTTTAAAGATTGATTTTGTTGGTTTTAACCCCATCCCTGGGGCCCCAGGGGGGCAGGGACCATGAAATTCACAATTCTTATTCCCCTTCACCCAAAGATGCTATATGCAAAAATTGGTTGAAATTGGTTGAGCGGTTCTAGAGAAGAAGTTGAAAATGTTCAGAAATTAACGCACGACGGACGACGCACGACGACGGACAAAAACGGATAGCAATAGGTCACCTGAGTGACTCAGGTGACCTAAAAACAAGTAAATTATTGACAAACAAGTTGATGAAACAAGAATATCAGCTGTCTCGTTTAAAATCATCATTTCGTAAGTTCTATGGTCGATACAATGACCTTGTCAACAAGAACAATTTATCAATAAGTCAAATGCTGACAGACGTTTTTCATACTAATTTTTAGGCCATTATTTACACACTGAATTGTCGACGGATTTTTCCGTTATTTCCCGATCATGACAAGGAGCACACGGTGGGTGTGACCGGCCGGCAGGGGATGCTCACTCCTCCATGGCACCTGATCCCACCTCTGATGTTTGGAGGTCCGTGTTTGCTCTGCTCCTATTTTGTATTGTTTGATGGACTTTTGAGCTTGAATACTGTTCGTTATCTCCATATATTTCACACAGACTATGGATTTCTCCCTTAACTCATTCATGACGAGAAGAACAAAGCGGATGTCACCTGATACAACGTCTGTTTTACGGGTGTGTGTTTTCTCTCCTTGCAATTCGTATCGTTTGAGTGGATTTATCAACATGATTTATGTTCGTTATCTTCACATATCTTTATGATCTGAAATTATTCTTGAAGCCTGAGGATTTTTTTATCATATTTATACAAAAAATTGAACATTTTTTACAAAAGAGCGAAATGAACAAATGTTCTCAGTTGAAGAACTTAGATTATTGAAATTATGCAAGATAATAGATATTAAATAAAAATAATTTTTTACAGTCTATTTTGAAGATTTTTTTTTTTTAATAAATTGATAGTGTCTTTTTAATTAATTTGTTAGGCAATTGTCCACTGATTAGACACTAGGGTATGTTTCTGTAGCTTCTGTGGTCATTTAACTAAACTTTTGAACTAGTTCAAGTGAAACAAAACAGTTACATGATCTCCAATTGTGATTTAAGCATGGTTAACCATTTGAACTCTCCGCGGAGGTCAAAGAATCAGAGGGGTTATAAAATGTGAAGTTCCAACTGTTTGTGGATTTGTAATTGTTCATTGCTGAACTCTTTGGGAGAAAAGATGCCAAAGAAATGATCTTTTCGCATATCACATTACTTGTGACAAGTCATAATTTCGCACGTTCTATTGTCGATACAGGGACCTTGTCAGCAAATATAATCTATCATTAAATCAATTTCTGACTGATGTTTCTCATACTATTTGTTAGGCCATTATTTAAGCACTGAATTGTCTACGGATTTTTCCGTTTGCCCGATCATGACAAGCAGCATATGGCCGGAGTGGCCAGTCAACAGGGGACTCTTACTCCTCTGTGGCACCTGATCCCACCTCTGAGGTTTTAGAGGATTTGCTCTGCCCCCGATTTGTAGTGGTTCAGACCTTTGAGCTTAATTAATGTTCACTATCTCAATATTTCAAGTATAAGAAAAGAATTGTTAGTAAATAATAACAAAAATAATAATAATACGAGTAATAAAATGTATCGTTTGATTAGTTACTAATATGTAACTAAGTCAAGTCATAACTTCAGAGCAAAAAAGACTGAATAATGATTTATCTTTGTATTAACATTTATATTTGATACTAGAATACTAGTATACTCGTAGATCTCAAACTCGTTGTATCCAAAAACACACGCTTTAAAATACTTTCAAGGTGAGAATTTATTAAATGTTTGATTCAAAATACTTCGAATTCTTTCTTACATACAGTGTGTTTTACAGTGCATTGACTAATAATACAAATCTGTAAATTTCAGAATCTGCTTTTTCTGACAAAAGACTTTTGTTTCATAAAAAATTCATGACCACAAAAAGAAAAGTCTAACACATATGATAAAGAGTTGATTGTTCATCATAACTATGCAAAAAGTATATTCAAAAGATCTTAAGTAGAAGATATTTCAAACAGAACTAAAGTAACTGCATCTTGCAGCTCTAAACCGGTTCCTAAAAGATCATAAAGTTCTTAATTAAAGGGCTTACTCATATTCATAGTAATAAAAATATGCTACTTATCAGCTAGTACTGCATTAAGACGTTCAAAGATATAATGCATTTTTTGCACATGCTTCAGCCCAGTCTTGAACCTTAACCTCGCACCTAAAGATCATAATCTTCACTTTTTGATAGGTGCTTTTGTTTATTATAATCTTGAAATTTTTTTCACTGTACGTTTTATACGAATAAAGAAGATTACAAATATGGAGTATTCCAAAGTACTAATACATACACTTGGCCTGTATCGCTGCATCCTAAGAGATTGGGAAGAAAGCTATAAGCTCTTTTATAATCGTGTAAATAGTTTGTCTGCTAGAAGGTTAGGAATAAAGAGGATTTCAAAGATATAGGTCATTTCCAAAACTTTATTCCATCTTTTTTCCTGGAACGAGATTGGGTTTCTATTTTCCTCTTTTTGACAATTTTAAACAGCTGTATAATTGTTTCTTTCCACTGTTTGCAATTTTGGATGTTTTACGTAAATAGTTTCCTATTAGTCCCATCAAAACATATAACATTGGACATCTATGTTTTCCTGGTACTTCTATAAATATGCAGATCTTCTTCCTTATAATAGGATTACATCCCTAGGTCGGTTGTTAAATTATATTTAGTACGAAAAGGGAATCACATGTAACAAACAAAGAGGGAAATGCATGAAATTTTTTGCTCTTTACTTTAAATGTTATTTGGTGTATTTTGTGAATAGTGCATTATGTTCATATAGATATGAGAAGTTTTTAATGAAGTTTTCGTGAAATGAATATGCACATTTGCAGACAAGCAATGGAAAATATTTTATATGACATCAATATTCTTGCACTAGACATTTTTAATAACTAAACGTTCATGTGTACATCCCGTTTTGTACTTAGATTCATCTTTTTTCATCAGGCAGAGGAATTTATTTTTCTGTAGGTTTTGTACAACATAAATGTGGTAAATAACTTAAGAAATAGACGGTTCAAAGTTAAAAAAAAGTTGAATAAGAACCTAACCTGATACCACAACTCATAATACAAACCAAACCGAATTGCTCAGATCATAATATTCATTTACCTCTGTGGTTATTTTTAACGCTTTGGAAACACATTTTTACACCCTTGTTCGTATCACAACAGCATTGAACTTAGATTATTAAAGCTTTACAATTAAACATGAAGTTTTTATGAACCAACCCTAACAAAAATTTCCTACAATAAAAGAAGTTCTTCTGTTGCAACCCTAACAAAAATTCACTACAGTAAACTACAGTTAACTAAATAAATACTTGGATTTATCCTGAAATTTTACTTAGATATTTTTTTCTAAGATTAAGGGCCTATATCTCTTTAATTACACACATTATAGAAATAATTACTTAAATTTACATTAGTAAAAACTTCGATTTACTACAGTGAAAACTTTTATACAATAGTAAACTATAGTTATATATTATAAACTATAGTTAGCTATAGTATTTTTTGATAGTGAAGATCAAAATTAATGTTGTAAACAAGTAAACTGTCATGATGATGTATTTTATATATTATGCTGTATTTATTGTCTTTTGAACTGTACCTTTTTTGTTCTATTTTCAAATACATATCATCTTAATCAATTGTTTTCATGCAGAACATTATATGTATTATCTTGATCCCTATTACATTCATAAATAACAAGTTGTGTTCTAACGACAGGATCTAAAATCATTTGTGATTCCCTGACTGTGTTGTAATTAATATTCTCCTCGGCAATCATGTCCTCAGTAACCATTTTCTTCACAGATTTGGCTGAAAAGAAATAGTTTGAAAAGATGTCATCAAAGGTATTTAAAGGTGCTTGGACACAGATTTGAAGTTAATATTTTCTCAAATTTTCTGTATAATTTCATGACTTATATGTTGCAATAACATTTCATAGTAAAATATCATAAAAATCTTATTTCATCTCGAAGTTATTAAAACTTTGAATTTCTGGACGCGTTGGATTGACACATCTTGCGCTTTCACATATTTTAATTTTATTCTTAATACTTAAGAAAAGTGGCAATTTTGTTGTGTATTAATGAAAAATATTAAAACTATAACCCAGAAAATTCAGAGTAGAAATGTTCGAAAGCAAAACCCACTCACAGTATTGTAAGTTCGTGCTCAGTGGTGTGTGCAGAGTTTAACAATTGAACACACCCGGTGAATTGTATACATTAACAATAACAGAGCTCGTGCCCAGTTTACAAAAACAGTTTAGGTTTCACGGGTGTGTTCAATTTGTTAAACTCTGTACACATCACAGAGCACGGACTGACAATACTGGTGAGTTGGTTTTGCTTTCGAACATATCTACTCTGAGTTTTCTAGATTATAGATGTAATATTTTTCATTAATACATAACAAAATCGCTTCTTTTCTTAAATATTAAGGATAAAGTTAAAAATTTGTGTATGTGCAAAGATGTGTTAATCAAACGCGTCCCGGAGTTCGTAGTTCCAATAATTTCCAGATAAAATAAGTTTTTAGTTATATTTTAATGTGAAATGCTATTGCAATATATAAGTCGTGATATTATCCAGAAAATTTGAGAAAATATTAAGTTCAAACCTGTGTCTAAGCACCTTTAAGATAACTTACACAATTACTCAAAATCCCTTCAACAGTTGAAAAATTTATGTTAATTTTGCATACATACTTTTATTAAGAGTCGTCTCTGGCTCTTTAGAAATAAGTCCCCTATTGTACAGAAAACAATTGATTTACATGTTGAATCTAGTACTTCTATCATGTAAATAAGATATGGAAAGTATGTTCTTGCATTATATGAGTCATAAAAGCTTTTTTATATACATGTAGATATATCCTTTAGATGAGGTCAATTCTTATAGGCATAGACTTAGAAAAAAAACCCATAAAAAGCGAGTGCAAAGACTATAATATATAATGATAGATATAATATATAATATTATATTTATATAAATAGAAATATAAATATAATATATGATAAAAAAATCCAATATGATATCATTTAAGATATTTAAAAAACCAAAAGCCTCTGAGGTGATTGTAGCTCTACCGGTGTGCACTAATAATAAAGATAGATGCATCTTAGTGTAGTCTATTGTGAAAAATTCTAACCAGACAAAAAACTGAAGGAGGAGAAGTACTTAAACATATTCGAAAACATTTCTATATCTAGAAACCACGGCAACACCGTTTGTCGAAAATCTTAGTATACTCTACTTGTAAAATGAGTCTTAATGAAAATGAACCAAACCTGTAGAAGTAAATTTGAAAGATTTCTAAGACATTGCTGTTTTTAGCAATCATGGCAACACCGTTTTATGATACTTTTTATAGAATTATATATATTATAATAGTCTTCTTTTGTACCACGTCTTATTTAAATAAGACCAAAACTGTAAAAGGAATAGCTTTTGAAAGAATTTCAAAAAAATCTTTTTAATAACCATGGCAAGACACAGTTTGTTGAAATCAAAAACCAGTATACAGAATGATGTATCTAAGTATACACCATTTGTGTACCAAGTCTAACTAAATTAAACCACAACTTAAGGAGGGGTAGCGTTTAAAAAATTCAATTAAATTTCTATTTTTGTAAACCATTGCAACATCGTTTGTTGAAATCAAAAACCGAAAAACAAAATCATGCATCGTTGTCGTCTTCTTGAGTACCGAGTCTTATTGATAAAGGATGAAATATGTGATTTTTATTCGTGGAAAGAATAGTCTTTAACACTGTATAGTTTTCAGATTGATTCAGAAATTCAAAAGTAAAAAAAATGAGAGTTAGAATATAAAAGTCAAACTAGTCGATTGAAATTTGTAGAGACACCAAAAATATCGATGCAGTGTGCAACATGATATCTGGAAATGTCAGATTTACATCCAAAGACATTGCTAGAACACTAAGCATTTCATCGTCATAACATTTTATAGAATTCTGGCAACGGAAATGAATATAATAATATTTCTATCAGATATATGCCTTATTTTCTTAAAATTGCCTAAGAGAAAAATAAGCATTAAATTTGTCAACGGTCTGCTTAAAAACAAATATTTTAACAAAATAGAAGATTTGTTAAATTTGCGTGATGGATGACGAAACATGGCTGCAGTTTTTATAGCCTAAAAGAAGATCAATAATAAAATGTGGAATGAAAGAAAAAGCTATTGTTCTTATTATTTTGTAAAGAGAAACAAGGGCTCCAGGTATGTTTGCCTTTATTTTTTTCAAGAGGACCAGTAAAACATGTAGATACACCCAAAGGAAGGACCATCAATGGTAACTTTTATGTTCAAATTGCAATGAGGAAAGATAAACTGTTACAGATTTCCTTTAAAGGAAGTCCAAATACAGCCCCAGGGTAATTTTCTTGCAAATAAGCACAGAAAAATAAATGAAATTCCGAAGAAAAGAAAGTTTACAGAGCTTTGCCATCCCCCATAGATCTTGTGAGATCTCTTTATTCTACAAATGCGTGAAAACAATCAAAGGAAGATTATACAATATCAGATACGTCATGGAACGTGACATTCATCAGTGTTTTTGGGGTATCCCTAAAGATGGGTATGCTGGGGTTTTCTGGTCATAGATACAAAGACTTAAGACAAGTGTAAAGGGTGATAGGGAATGTTTTGAGGGATTGAAAATGTTTAGAATATGTATTACGCACTTTTCTTACTTTAAGATGACCTATTGCATTATTAATTGAACGACCCTTGTAGATAACGAACAGTAATCAAGCTCAAAAGTCCATTGACACGATATGAATCGGGGGCAGAGCAACACGGGGCACTTAAAGCGCATCAGAGGTGGAATCAGGTTTCTTGGAGGAGTAAGCTTCCCCTGTCGACCGGTCCACCCGTCGTGTGCTCACTGTTTTTATCGGGTAAATGGAAAAATTCGTAGACAATTCAGTGTTTAAGTAATGGCCTGACAATTAGTATGAAAAACGTCAGTCAGCATTCTAAACTGTAGGAGGAGTACATGTATCGTTTTGAAAAAGTGTACAGACAGACAGACGGATGGACGACGGACACCTTACCAATGCATAAGTATTACCAGTAGAGCTAAAATGACCGTGAAAAAGGAACTTCACATCGACAGAAAAAAACCTGTCCTCACCGATAGCGTTTGAAGAGGAGAAATACCAGAATCATCAAAGAAACCACAAAGACAGTAAAAAGCATTGCAAACAGCACTGGTAAAACGTCATGTTGGAGAATTTCACTGGATGACGTATCTGTAACAGAGTATTACAAGTATGTAAAACCTTAAAAGTTAAATTTACTTTTTGTGAAAAAAAGTGAAGATAACGAATAGTGATCGATCTTTAAAAAATATATTTAAAAAAACCCCAATACTAATCTGAAAACTGGGCATAAAATAAGAACCTTTGGAAATTCTAGAGGTGGGATCGGGAGCTTGGGAAAAGAAAGCATCCCTTGAAGACAGGTCACACCCACCGTGGGGCCTATGTATTGATCGTGTAAACGGAATATTCCGTAATCAAATTTAGCATAAAAACAAAGACCTAACATTGGTATGGAAAAAAGTCTGTCAAAATATAACAAAATGGTAGGTTATATTTGCTATCAAGGTAATTATGACGACCATATGATTTATAAAATGCTGACTTTACACTAATTTGTTGAAATCACTATAACATTAAGTTATCTGTCTGTAGCCTGTCGCGGTTTAAAAAACTGATACTTCTAAGAACAGGCTTTTGAGTTCGAATAAGTTGGGAGACATAAACAACATATGCAGCTAATATTGGAGTATTGAAGTACTAATAAATAAGGAAATTTGACGAAGGAAAAGCTGAAGTCATCTAGTTTGCTGTACAATTTAGTTGTTACTTGGCCTTTATTGTATATAGTCTGCAAAACATCAACAAGAAAGAGATGTGGCAAACTCTATGGAGTCTTTTATTTCGAGTTCACTGGGATATATCGAGTCGACATATGAATGCTAATAACTATTGTTGATTGACAAAACGTCGTCAATATATCTGAATGTCGAGTTGAAGATCTTAGAAAGTGATTTTTTTTTTCTTCTCATGTTGAAGTTTTTGAATAAATTCTGCTTCGTGGGGATATTGAATCAAGTCGGCTAATAAAGGAGAACAATTAGTACCCACTACAATTCAAACAGTTTCTTATAAGATCCAAAGACTACATAAATGTTTTCAAAGAGGAACTCCAGCATCTTTTCAATATCAACTCCAGGGTACTTGAGTGTAGAAAAAGCGATTTCAACAAAGAAATTTTAATGACGTGCAATCATGAACATTTTCGAGTTCCACTTTTACTGAAGAAACAGTTGACTATTATATCAAATAAGCCTAGTTTTTAATTCATCTTATTAGGAATGGAAATGTAGAGAAGTTGTACATTTTGATGTTACTGACTTCTAAAAAAATGTCGTCCTTTACAATATATTCGAAGACAATTATTTTCATCTAATAAGTTTTAATGGGCGACAGCGCACTTGTATGCCATAAAAACCTTTCAAAGCTTTCAAATATAATTTTTGATCCGCCTCTTCAAACTTCAAATTGCATGAGATCGTCTAGACTGTGACGTCAGTGTAAGTTGCATTTCTACATATATTTAGTCTAAAAAGTACTATCTTAAAACGAAAAGCATTGTAGAGTAGACGTAATTAAATTTGTGTTTCCTTAAAGACCCTATATTTTTACCGTACGGCTACCTGGGAAGAGGGAGTGGTCTAATTAGTACAGATGTTATTTACCTGGAGTGCCCTAATACTCAAGATGCCAAAAATTCATATACACATTGCATTATACAGGAAGTCTTTATGGTGATCATTGTCAACATTACACACGTTTCTTGTCTAATTCTCAGTGAAACAGTGGTGAAACCAAATATTACTTTTGCATAAAATTGATAATCTCAACATTTTCATCGATATTTTTTATAAAAAAAAAATATCATGTATAAAGAAATATCCTTTTAAAAAACATTATTAAAAAAATCTCGAGTGTAAGCTACAAAGCAATCGTATCAATGATTTTTTAATTGTCATTAAAAAATAATTACAAGGTATACTGTACGTGTAAATATTGAAAAGAAGTTTTATTTCTCTTGAGTACATTAACAATCTAGAAATTATTAATTTCCCTGGTCGATACTGGTGCCCATGATGTTCATTTACGAATAAGGAATTTAGAGAAAATTCGAACTATGATTTTGATATTTTTTCCACTACATTATGAAGAATTATTGAAAATTTTTGTGATCCAAATTTCTTAAATAAAAATAAATGCCATTCAAAGATAGTGCAATTTAAAAATAAACAACAATCTATTCTACACGAAAAACAATATTTACGTAATACATGTATGTGTACTATTTGTAATTTTTTTACGATTTATATAAAACATCTGCATTTAACAGATAAAAACTTGTGATAAAGGAATCTTCGTAGTTTTCAAACTTAATTCATGCCATCAGTGTCGTATTATCTTCTTTCAATTATTTTGATTCCATTTTGTTGATTCATTTTATTGGGGGGGGGGGGTCGCTATATTGATCCCAGAAGACGGCGAATTGAGTTTCTGTGGACCCAAGCGACAAATCAAGCGGGGCACATAAAAGAGGTTGTAGCGTGGTGAGGTAATTGCTATCGAAACATCCAATCTCAGAATGTCAGGTAGCACAAGTAGCTGGCCTGTCAATCAGATCAGTAGCTATTGTTTTATTTATGATTGACAGGCGGTATATTATTGATCTTGAACCAGGTAGATTTTGGGGGCGTTAACGTAAAATTGGGTGTTTAACGCTCTCTGCAAGAACTCTTCACGACAACTAGTAATTAACTAGGTCTGATACATGTATATTCGCCATTATTGCATGGATTTGTGGTTGCCAAAGAATTCTGGGAGGATGCACACAAAAAAAATGCTAGATTTCAGTTTGAATTTCCTCTTTTCTTAAATGTAAGTCTTTTAGGCTCTTTGCGCTAGATATTAGCGTTTTGAATTACTTTGATAGTGTCAAATTTATGGCTTGTTAATATTTTTTATATTCTTTGAGTATTTGGGTGCGTTTTGGTTAACTTAATATAGGTCATCCACATCTTTAACTTTTTGAAACTAATGTATATAAGATATAATCGGCTTTCGGAAATGAGGTAAGAATCCTTAACTTACCAACAGGACATGTACAGTTATAACTATTACAGTCATCACAATCACATCTTGTCAGGCATTTATAACCACAAAAACCACCTGGACAGTGTCGAGAACAGTGAACTCCATAACTACCATTGCAGGCTGAAATGACAACATAAGGAAACCAGTATCAGGGAGAGCATAACCCTCACAACATCAGGGGTCCTGAGTTCCCTCATGCCCGAGAAAAAAGAGAAGACTCAGGAGCCCTGACGTTATGGGGACAGAAAGACATATCTTATAGTTTAATGCATCTATTTGAATGATTAAGTAAAAGCAAATATATACTTTACATGTAGGCATATTTCATTTCATTTTAATGCAGTGGCGGATTTAAGGGAGGCGCCCCCCGCCCCCCCCCCTTCCCACTAAACTGTCAAAATTAGCGTAAATTATAGTTGAGTCGAGAAAATGTAAAAATGTTTACTCGGTAGACCTCATCATCCTACAAAATCTCTAGAATCCAGGAGCTTCTGGAGCTTCGCCCCTGGTCTTTTCCAGGGTTTCGCCCTGGACCCACTGGGGGCCTCAAGTCGGCTGGATCCGCGCCCGTAATGTGTCATAATTATTATCAACTTAAGTAGATAATATTGACAATCTTTATCCTTATATTTGGTATTTATGCCTAAAAACAGGACTAACAAGATTTAGTCTTTTGACGTGTGGTCCATATATTTCGAATAATGCATAAGATATTGCTTCCAAGTCCATGGATAATATGATTTTGATAATTAAAAAAAATCCTTTTGAGGTTAATAAAAGTGTATTATCATATAAATGTAGATACTTTCATATCAATTTATATTATAATTGCCAATTTGCTCTCGAAAAGAGTTTTAAAGAATCCTACTTATCTGATCTCATGTAATTGTCTTCTCCCAGTCTAGCCATTAAAAGAAGTAAGAGCTTAAAATTTTAGAGAAATGTTCCTCTTTTCTGTTTTAAAGTTTAAATCCTTTTTATCCCCAAGTCTCTGACAAGGATGAGAATTTTGATGATTTCATATCAAATTAATAAATATACCACCGCTGCCCAGTAATAGAATGGTTTCTTCTTCTCCTATGGAATGTCTACCAGCAAGAGTTTACTTTTGTATATAGCGTTATTTGTTAGAATACCCCTTTTAATTGTGGATGCTATATTAAAAGTTTTAACAGTATTTTGGCTAGGAAGAAAAATATTCCATATTCGTCGTTCATAATTTATTCTAATAGTATACATACCAATGCATTTGTTTTTGACTTGTTTGTAGTCAGTGCAACATCTCAGGGGTCTAAGAAAAATGAAGCAATAAATGAAAATTAAAATTTATTGCGTTTTACATTTAAACTGTACATTAAATTTTAATAACAATGAGGCCTTTAATAAAATTCTCACTCGCAATTAGCTAGATTAAAAATGTTACTAAAATCAAAAGCTAAATAATATACTTACTCTGATTCACAAACTCCTTCATTTTGTGTTCTAATAAGACATACAAACTGTAAAAATACTAACGTATGTGGAACTTTTTTCAACATTTGTTGATGCTACAGAGAAGGACGTTGTGAATTCCTCCAAACTTTCAATAGCTTAATCACCATTTCCTAATTCTTTAAAAGTTTCCGGGTTGTATTCTTCAAACAATCTAAAACGTACATGCACTCTTAAACTAAAAGGGAAAGCGTTTGTGTTAGTGAAATAGTATTGGGATGTAATAAAATGTCTATTGAAAGATGTTTCTATAAATCAATAAATGAATGGATACCTATTCTCAGTGTGTTTTCCCCTTAATTTTAAATCATATATATGAAAGTTAAATCAAATTTTGATGACTTCTAACGTAAATAATGTTTGATATAATTTCTGTTCCAGACTGCTTGTTAGGGCAATAAGCTTAAATGACATACCATACAAAAACTTTATTCACCCTAGAAAAAAAAAAATTATTTTGACCATAAGTTTATGCAGATAAAATGCTAAGACAATTTATAAAATAGATTAAAATAAATGAATGAACTTGCAAACCAAAATCTATATTGCAAATTTGTATCACAGGCAAAAATATATGAACAGTCAAATCTTTTTATTTTTTTTATATCCTTCAAAATTGCCAGATTTTAAAAACTAGAAAATCTGCTTTTCAAACAACTATAACATGTAATCACAGAGCCGACCCCACTGCTGCAATATTTGAACTGAAAAGAGAATAAGCAAGTACGTGCAAAATTGGGACAGTATTTTACAAGAATATTTGCATGAACAATATCAATAGACAATGCTCACGTCGAAGCAACTTATCTTCCTGAAAGAAAATAGAATTAAAACTCTTAAAATTATTCATTTTTTCCATGTCTACAGCGATAAACTTTGCCCAACTGCTTCCGTTTATTTTTTTTCATGTTTTTATTTATTTATTTTGCGGTTATCACTTTGACACGATGCAATGAGCGATACTATAAAGTTTCAGAAAGATTGGTTGTGTAGTTACTGATAACCAGAAGTCTCTGAAGAGACTGTAGCTCTACTGCTTGTACTTATAAAGGAAGATAAAAGTAGCACTTGGACTTGAAACTTTGCAACAGGAATAAATAGAATAATGATCCTTGGTTTAGTCTCATTTTGTTGCAAGATTTATTACAATCAGACTAAAACTGTAGGAGGAGTAGTCTTTTAAAACAATTTTACAGAAATTTCGATTTAAGTTACCATGGCAACATCATTCAACAAAATCAAAAAACAATAACGACAATTATGCATCTCAGTGTAGTCTTCTTGTATGTCAAGTTATACTGAAATCAGACAAAAAGTGTAGGAGGAGTCGCGGTTTGAAAGTATCTCAAGAAAATTTCTATTTTTAGTAACCATGGCAACAATGTCCATCAAAATCCCAAATTGATAGAGAGAATTATGTATCTTAGTGTAGTCTACTTGCAATTGTGTGCCAAGTTAAACTGAAATCGGACCAAAACTGTAGGAGGAGAAGCATTTTGAAAATATTTCAAGGAAATTTCTATTTTTAGTAACCATGGCAACCCCGTTCATCAAAATCAAAAACCGATATAAAGAGTTATGTATCTTAGTGTAGTCTCCTTGTGTGTCAAGTTATATTGACATCAGATAAAAACTGTAGGAGAATTATGTATCTTCATGTAATCTACTTGTGTGTTAAGTTATACTGAAATCGGATCAAAACTGTAGGAGGAGTAGTGTTCTGAAAGTATTTCACAGAAATTCTTATTTTTAGCAACATGGCAACACCGTTTATTGAAATCAAAAACCGATAAATAGAATTATGTATCTTCATGTAGTCTACTTGTGAGTTAAGTTATACTGAAATCAGATCAAAACTGTAGGAGGAGTAGTCTTTTAAAACAATTTTTTCACAGAAATTTCTATTTTTAGTAACCATGGCGACACCGTTCATTGAAATCGTAAACCGATATATAAAATTTTATATCTTAGTAAAGTCTACTTGTGTGCCTAGTTATATTGATATCAGACCAAAACTGTAGGAGGAGAAGCATTTTGAAAGTATTTCCCAAATATCTTTATTTTTAGTAACCATGGCAACATCGTTCATTGAAATCAAAACCGATACACAGAATTATGTATCTTAGTGTAGTCTACCTATGTGCCAAGTTATGTTGAAATCAGATCAAAACTGTAGGAGGAGTAGCGTTTTGAAAAATTGTTTACAGACAGACAGACAGCTAGACAGACAGAAGGACGGACGACGGACACTTTACTATCGCATAAGCTCTTCTGGTCTCTGACTAGTAGAGCTAAAAATTAAGAGCATAAATTGGTTTGAGATAAAAATTGTCAGTATGAATTTGAAAAGAAAAGTTGATTTTATTACCTTGGTTGGCACAGTTTACGCTTTATAAACAGCGAAGCTATTAAATTTTACAACAATACATGTAAGTGATTAGACCGTCACGATAGCTCGGTCAGCAGAGCGCTTGCTTCCTGACCGGAAAATCTTGGCGCCAAACCCCGGCCGCGACTGATCTAAGTCGATAAAAATAGTGGCAGCGGTCTCTTCGCCAAGTGCTTGACAATTTGAAGTGAAAGTATTTTGAATGAGACCTTAAAACCGAGGCCCCATGTCACTGTTGACTTTGGCACGATAAAGAAAACCCTCACTTTTCAATGGCCGTAAGTGCTGAGTAACGGTCTAAATTAAAGCGTCTCTATACGAGTGAAAATTCTAAAATGGGATGTAAAACATCATACAATCAATCAATCATGACTGTGATCCCCTAATTTGGTTCATATATCCGTTTTTCAGAGCTCTAGGTATTTTTTTAAAGTAGTTTAAGCATATAACTTTCCCCTTGTAATGGATGAATTTGAGTTTTATTTGTTTATGCTTGGAATTGTCGTGTTTTTCCGCCCTTGAAAGAATCAGAATGTATGTAAACAACCGTCTAAGTAAGATACATTACTTAAATATTGGTTCTATTTGACATTCATATGTAAAGTTTAACTGTATTTGGGAATGAGTAATTGGCTTCACTTGGCTTGTTCGGAAAAATGTCAGAAACCTGTCACACTTAAACATTTTAAACCACTTATACAGGCTTATGTTATCAACACGCTGGCATACGCTGATGCTATAAGAAAGCCTCTTTAGCGACAAATGAAAAGTGTAAAGCAAATGCACGGAATGAATTTACAGCATATTGTTAACCCATGAATAACTTTCCTTTAGCGTATGCATAATGTCTTTCAGATTATGCATAAAATTATTGTTGCCTACATTTGACTTATGACTAACATGTCAGCAGCATGCGATAAAAATTTACAAAAAAAAAAAATCACAAAATTATGAAGCGCATTCAGTGAACGACAACTTATACCAACTTACCTCTGCGTGCACATAACATGTTAACTTATAGCCTTAGTACATTCAAACTAGGCCTGCGTGTTCGTTAGATTTTTCATACGTCGGCATACATTGTGCTCTATGTCATAGTATGACAGCTGCTTAAATGGAAAATTTAACAAAAAATATATAAAAATATAGGACAAACACCACCAAATGATTACCCATAGACTTCCATACAAAGCTGAGACCATGTAACAGATTCATGAAATATATGAAGATAACGAACAATATTCAGGCTCAAAAAGTCCATCAAACAATTCAAAATAGAAGCAGAGCAAACACGGATCTCCAAACATCAGAGGTGGGATCAGGTGCCATGGAGGAGGGAGCATCCCCTGCCGACCGGTCACACCTGCCGTGTGCTCCTTGTCAGGATCGGGAAATAACGGAAAAATCCGTCGACAATTCAGTGTTTAATAATGGCCTAACAATTTGTATGAAAAACGTCGGCACTTTCACTTCACATTCCATCAGTTTTCAAGTAGGTGCGTTCAGCATCAAATTAAAACCTCTAACCGAAGTACATCCCTCTCTTTAATTTTTTACTTATAATTCCTATCTCAAAGAAGCCTAAGTCTTAATACGAGAATTCTATCACCTTTATTTCAGTTGTGAAATACATAACATCTTTAAATGACCAATATGTGCCCTGTAGCATTTTCTTCTCTGCACAACTTTGGGTATCCAAAATGTCTGCGCCCATGTATATGGTTTCGATGTAAGTAGGCGTTTTCTCAAAATATGTATGAAAAAAATCGTTCTGTGACTGGCCAATCATGCAAAGAACAAATTGTAAAGATGCAAAGAACAAAATGTAAACTGTTGTGAAATAAAGAGGTAGAAAATTCTTCTGTGATTGTAATTCTGAATGTGAGGTGGGACGAGTAAACTGCTTTATCATTTTCACTGTAAAAAATGGCATTAAGCATCCTTCAGCAATTTAAGAAACATTTAAATGTACGAAGCATATTATGAAAAATAGAGGAATCTAATACCTACTTGTCTAAAGGCCTTTGCAAGTTTATCAGAGGATTACTCAGATGATACTAAGAACACAGTTTGGTAGTATCATCTGATTAACCCTCTGTACGTGGTATTATCTTTTTATGCAAAAAGATAAGCATCTAATCTTGAGAACTACAAGACTACCGGTTTATATTGACTGACAGTAGTATATTTTGATTCTTGATGTCGAGGAAAAACATTACGACATTGGCATGACCTTATTTTTTAATATCGATATTCCTTATACTATTATCACCTACATATGGAGTTTATGTCTCCCAGTTGATTCGATTTGCAAGAGCATGCTCTACGTACTAACATAAGTTGATGAAAAGAGGATATCAACATCCTCGTATAAAGTCAACATTTAGCAAATTCTATGGTTGATACAATGACCTTGTCAGCAAGTACAATCGATCATTGAGTTAAATGTTGACTGATCTTTTTCATACAAATTGTACATGTTAGGTCCTTATTTTCACACTGAATCGTCTACAGATTTTCCCGTCTGTTCGATCATGACAATGAACACAGGGGGATGCTTACTCCTCAATTTCAAATTTACCTTTTGATAAGGCGTAATAACGCAAAAAAGGCGTTAATACGCCTTTTTAAAAGACATTATTAAGCCTTTCTAAAAGTGTTATTACGCCTTTTCAAAAGGCGTCTTTACGCCTTTCAAAAGGCCTTATTACGCCTTTTCAAA